ACAAGACACCGCATGATCCCAAAAACATCACCATCAAAGACACGGGAAAAAGCAAAACAGGACCTAGATACCAAAAATAACGGGACACCCAGTCGATAACTAAGCACACTACGATATGTCCTTCCATTCATAGTCTGGCCCAACCTGGCAATGGGGACAGCACGCAACCAATCAAAAGAGTGCGCACTCTGCTGGGACTTCCACAAAGCAACATGTCGTGTAGTCAACGAGAAAACAGAGTCTGAAGAAGCAGCAACCTTTGCGAAATATATGTCTACCAATTTCTTCATAAGTATTGGGGCAGCAACTTCGCTAGGGTCACGTAAGATATCAGAACCTGTAAACTCATTGAATGTGCATAGGGCATCATCGAAAGTAGGGCCAGGAGAGTGAATACCAGAAAGACATAGTAGCTTAGCTTGCAACCCAACAAACTGCAAACAAGACGCCAAAAAGTATAATGTTGGACAACTCCAGCAACATAAACCCCAAGGCCACCTAAATGAAAAGGGAAGGTGGCAAGTCGCCACAGCCTATCATCGAACCCTGGCCGAGAAGCAATGACAATACATTCTAAACTGGAAGGAAGGGTTGTGTCAAAAGGGAGCTGGGCCGACCCAAAAACACTAGGGGAGCAAGTACGCAAAGCAAAGTAGAGTTTTGAAATACCAGTGCAAGCCCAAATCAAAAGCAACTCACATTGTGGGTCATCAATCCTCGAAACCAAGTCCATTAGCTCAACGGTCCTGGTAACTCTCTTCGCCATCGCCATGAGGTCAAAGCTAAAATTAGGACAAGTACTTACAGACCCACCCAGAACAGTGACACCATGAGAAGGTCGAGCAATAGAAGCAGGAAAAACACCCAAAAGTCGACTCCTAGGATCCACAGTAGGCCAAAAAATCTCTCTCTTATCCACATTTAGGTGAAGCCCAAATCGAGGGCTCTCATCCATAATCATGTCTAAGACTTTCCCTACAAGAAAAGTGTCCCCTACAATAGTGCCATCATCCAAATACCATGCCTGGAAACTCAGGTTAAAGGAGTCTCTGATCTTGCACACTAGAGGATGCAACACCAAAGCAAAAAGTAAAGGGCCCAAAGGGTCCCCCTGTTGAACCCCTGGTAAGACCATAAGTTATGCTCCCCATAATACAGTCGGGCAGGGGTAGAGTAATAGAACTCTACCCATCGGGAAAGAACCGGACAACGACAGCGAACTTCTTGAAGCATAGCCCCACGATCAACTAAATTGAAAGCATTCTGAAAATCGACCAGCAACATAGAAAGACCAATGTCACCACCATGGCTCTCAACTAACCGGTTCAAGGCATGCAAAATAGCCTCTCTTCCACCAGAAACGCCAACCCCAAACTAAAGACCATCAAAATAACCAAATAAACAAGGGCCAACAAGACAAGCACCAACTTTAGAGACAAGACGTCTCCAAATAGTGCCAACAGTTATAGGACAGATACCACCCCCAGGTTTAACCAGCGGAGCCCTAGCAATGTACTCACTAAGGATATGCGGGCATCGACTCTCAAGGAAAAGATTAACCACCCGAGTAATAGAGATGACCAAATCATCCAAGATAGCAACAGTAGCTCCACCAAGACAATCCATGAGATGTTGCCCAAAAACCATCCCTCCCACAAGATGTACCACGAGGGAAGCTCCTAATCATATCCAAAATAATAGATGAAGAGGCAACAAGAGGATGATGATCCACAGGTAAAGTCGAAGAGAGGGAGGTGGGGCGACATGATGCTTATCTTGCAGAGCTACACAAGTGGCATCAGAATAAGGGGCCATGCCGGATGAAGAAAGCACTCGAACAGCAGCAGCATAATGCCCATCACAAATCATCCTCCAACATTTTCGAAGGTTTAGATCACTCAAATCGAGATGCTCCTCCACAACAAATGAAGGGGGAACCTCATCTAAGGTCTCTCGCAAAAGATGCAAACCGCCACCATCCCCCTAAGTAAGAATAGCACTAGTAATACTCTCCTCCTGACGATCGACACTCTAGATTACTCCGCGAAGAAAGGTCTTAAGCACACATAGAGGTAACACAAGTAAGCGGATCCTGCAGGAGAGGTCACCAAGAGAAACACCCACATCATCCAAAGCGCCTTTCATAGCCCGTACGAACCTAAGACGACACTTAGGAGGGATATATTTTATAGTGCGAAGACCCATAGAGAACAAACAATCAAGCGAAGAGATAGAACAACCCACAGGCTCCACCCCAGCATTAGATGACATAACCGACAAAGACGGAGCTGGAGGTCTAGGAATATCATAAATAATAAAATGAACAAGGTCGTCACCCCAATCAGGAGGCTCCACAATAGTATCCCCATCATGCCGACATTTAGAACGAAAAGAGTGAGTATGAAGGCAAACCCCCATTCGCTTTAGAGTCGTTTCAGCATTAGAAAACACCGCAAACTATCAGAGATAGTCTGGCGTGTAAGAGCCCCAGCTTCACCGTGACAATGTCGATCTCTAAAGTGCTGGAGCATGGAGGATTTAGTAAGGCCCCTGCCTCGACCATCCTGACACCCATGTAAACCGACGAAAGGATAGTGATACCGAACAAGAGAGGGCATGACCGAAGGAAGACAAAGCTATGGAGAATCACACACGCACATACACTTCAATTCGGCCAATCAATCACTCACTACACTCCCATTACCCCTCATATTCAGAATTGGGAAATATCCCAAAATTCAAGAACCCTAAATTAGAGTCTCGATTCAAACCTGGTGAAAGTAGAGCTGGAGTAGAGAGGAATAGCGTCGGTCCAAGTGATGGCCAAAATTAAAGCTCATCTATGCTCACCTCGACAATTCCAGGCACGTCCCATTCGTGATCCACCGTACCAAAATCATAATTGGGGGACTTACAGGAAAGGAGATCTGACTAATGGTTGCGATCCGAGCTCACAATGAGGTCGATGGTGATAATCAAATTAGGGTCGTTGCTTTGCTTTATTCCGCGAATTTGATAACCCCTACCCAATCGGCCGTGTCAAGTGTGGACCCGTAGTCCAACTATTGCATTACGAATCATGATACTTCATATTACCTGGATCAAGTGACGATCTACCTCTAACGGCCAAGTCCCAACCAAAGGTCCCCTCTGCTTCCTCATACAGTTTCAGTTCCTTACATGCTTTCAAACCATCACTACAAAGCTTAGGCTTTTCAAACAAGTTTATTATAGCCCCCTTCACCGCAATGTCCCCAACATATTCTTTCTCATCATATTTGACAACAAGATTGAAGAAATAAGTTTCCTTCACTAGATCCCCCAAAAATGTTTATCCCACATTTTGTTGATGATGTCAATGTAAGGTTTGTACAAAGTCTATTACCTAGAAAGATCTATTTGATTCCCTTAACTGCTCTTCTCATTCCCTCATAAACATAAGCAAGACTGGGCTTCTCATCTGAATCCACAAGCTTCAGCAACTTCATGATTGGTTGAGGCACATTTACCATCTCCAAACAATCACCCCAAAACTGAACATATAACAATATAGGACTCACCGCCTTTCCTTTTGCAGTCTTAGATGATTCATCTGCATTGAAGAACTCACTCACTGCTAAAACTTGTAAATCAACCTTGTGCTCATATACACTCTTCATGGAGAGGACATTAGTAGCAAAGCGAGTTGCACCAGACCTCACTATTTGCTTCCAATTTGGCTTTTCTTTCAACCAATTAATCACAGGAGTATGGTTAAAAACAAACACAATGACTCTTCTAGCCTTTTGAATGACATCCTTCACCTTCTCCAAATCTCCAAAAACACTCAATATCAAATTCATGCAATGAGTTACACATGGATACCAATAAATATGTGGATAAGTCTTATGAATAATCTTACCACATGACTTGTAATTAGCTGCATTATCAGTTACCACATGAACCACATTGCCCACGTCAATCCACTAAATTGCTCCATCAAATATCTTGAAAATGTTCTTTGCATTCTTCACAACTTTTGATGCATCAATTGATTTAAGAGAGCAATAGACCAATAAATTGAGTAATTTACCAAACTTCTGCCTTGTTGATCAGTTCAACCATCAGCCATTAAAGTACACCAACGATGTCCCCAAACGGCTCGGTGTTGATCAACAACTAGCTGAGTTTCTCTTTTCAGCTAGTAAAGGCACCCTTAAATCATGATATGATGGTACCTTAAATCCTGGACCAATAGCCATTGCAACATCAAACATCCTTTGAAAACTATCTGAGTTAGCAACATTGAAAGATAAGCAATTCTCATAGAAGAATTCTGCAACTACCATACGCGCTCTATGAATTGCATCCTGAGTAGCCATTGCACTTTTGATGTCTGGTTGAGACCTAGGAGTGGTTCTTGGAGCAAAAAAGTCAGCTCCCTTAGATTTCTTCAACAAGCCACTAACATCTTTAGTTGTCGGTGTTCCGACTAACTCAACCACATCATCCTCTTCTCCATCAATGCTAGGATCATTAGATTTCTTCTTCCCTTCCTTCTTTTCATCATATTCTTTAAGAATATTGGCAAATCTCACAAGCAGATCCTAGGAAACTTTTGAGCATTTCACAATATTACATTTTGAAGAATGATCAAGATGCTCTTTCATTAGATGAATCCCTCCTTTTTTTTTTACAATTCCACACAACATGCATTTAAGTGTCTTTACCTTCCCATTATCATCTTTGATTTCTTGAACGTAATTCCAAGCTGGATCGATCTTTGCCCGACCAGCTTGCATTGTTTGAGCAATAGAGCTCGGTGTTGTTGATTGTGTACCACTATCTGGATTTGGATTACTCATCTACAAAAGAAACACCGAATCAGTCAAATTAACTAAGTTGATTATCTTTCAAATCAAACATTAAAATCAAACGATATTTGAATCAGTGGCCTCCTTTTCACTGTTGAAATTAAATAATAAAATGAGTTCAACTTCACAATTAGTCAATTACCTTACCTCGCATCAAGCAGGGTTGTGGCCGATGGGAGATGTTGTGGAGGTGAGACTGTCGGTGGGAGATGTTATGGAGAGAGATGGCATGTGGGAGATGCTGCAGAGATGAGATAGCCGGAGCAGGAGCAGGGGGATGCGTTGGAGCTGCTACAAGAAGAGGGGACGGGCGATGACGATGGCGAGTGGGGAGCTGCTAAGGGGACTGGGGGTGGGGACGATGTTGACAGGAAACGCAAAAGCTGGGATGGAAAGTGACAAAGAAGCGGAGGAGCTGCTACAGGATGAGGGGGCGAGGACTGCGATGGCGATGGCGAGCGGGGAGCTGCGACGGGGACTGGGGATGCCGACGAGACGCGCCGAAGTCGGGGCGGGAAGTGTCGACGGCGGCAGGGTCTAGAGTCGCTCTTTTTTCTCTATTCGCGAAGAAGACGAAGGAGAAGAAGTGTCAATTAGGATGCTAGGGTTTATTTTTTTCCAGCCCGACTATTTTGCCTTTCACATTCTGTTTTTTATTTTTTATTAATTAGAACGGCTGGAAGGGGGGAAAATTGAGCGACCAGCTTGAGTGAGTAATCGCCTCGGCCGCTTACCGGCGATTGCAGAAATTCGGAATTGCTAAATGACTTATCTGAGACAGGTTTATGGCCGGGTGGCGGTTTTAGTGATCCGGTCGGCTCGCTTGGTCCTAATAACACTGACTTTTATCTTAAATATAAATATGAGAATATCAACTTGTGCCTTTTGTACTTTATCTTAAATATAAAAATGATAGTTCTTATTTAACCGGTTCTAGATGAAAAAGTCTAATCTTCTACTAGAAGGATAGCTTTGTGAAAGCTATTCGGAGCAAAATGACACAAAAATGATACCAAGAGAAAATGAACATCCCTGAGATTGGATACGAATTAGAAGACTTCCTCGATATATGATCCTAATGACTAGTTGAGAATACTGATAACACTTAAATTAGTGTTATTTACCCTCATATTTAGGTTTGTTTCGTGCTAATCGGTGTGCATAATCGGAAGAAAGTCGTCAATTGCATCCCTATTTTGTTCCTATTTGATTATGTCGTTATTTTAGGGTGGTTTTGACGATACATGTCAATTAGGTACAAAAAGGGCACAAGTGTAGAGTTATGGGCAAAAAGCTGAAGTCACGGTCTATAGAAGGAAGATTGCGAGCGCGAACGGAGGACGCGAAGAAAGAGCTATGATCGCGGCCTCCGGCCTAAAGCTTGCGTCCAAGATCTCTGGAGCGATGGGTGCGAACTTGGAGAGGCAACCATAGGGATGGGCACGTGGGTGGTTAACCGCGGATTGATATTAATCCATCCGCAAATAACCCGACCCGCAAGCAGTGGGTGGTTGATGATGGTGGATTGCGGATTGATAAATCTCCCACCCGCACTTGTGTGGGTGGATTGCGGGTTACCCGACTGACCCGCATCCTATTTTCACATGAAAAATAATGTTTTTATAGTATAGAATTTTCATCATATTTTCGAACCGCACTATAGTCTAATCATATACTTCTGAAGGTGGAGAATAAGAATCGTTTTGACTACTATGATTGGTTATTGTGTTGTGTAATATCCATTAGATATTGGATATTGGGATGCAAATTATTGCTAAATCCATTAAATATTGGGATGAAAACTATAAATTATTAATTGTATCAAAATCACAAAATTCGTAAGCTTTATCTACACAATTGGTTCATAGAGTAGTAAAAACTTTGATGCAAATACTACATGGATTCACTTGAAACAAAGTGAGAAGTGTATAAATTGATACAGTCTTACTAATTTGTTATGAACTTATTATAAATATTAGTCAACTTTCTTAATGGCTAGTTGGAAAATTGATTTTGCGGGTTAACCCACGACCCAACCACATCCATCTGCCACTCACCCAACCCGAGTCGCAGAAGAATGAGGATGGATTATGGGTCACAATTATTCCAACTCGCTAGTAAGTGTGTGGGTCAATTTGAGACCAAAACCTACCCAACTCGCCCATTCCCCACCTTTAGCATCCAACGAAGAAGAGACTGAAGGTTTCGGTAGTCAACTCACATCAACCTTCTTACGAGCCCGTGAGAAACATCGTGCCGCGAAATCAAGGAACGCGAGCGAGATGTCAGGTCGCGATCCTCCAAGTTTTCAACGTGTAAAGGTGCTGACCCGATCACGGCATCGCTTCATAAGTTCGTGATTGCGAACTTCTGCCCTCATAATTCCCTAAATAGGGGCCTCCCCTTTAGAAAGTGGCTTTTGGAAGATTTCTAAATCTAGAGAAAGAATAGAGGGGAGCGACTACGGTGATTACTAAGGGTAAATTGGGTATGGAAAATAAATTATATTAATTAATCAATTTTAATAAATTACATTTTAGGTAGTTACAAAAATCTATTAATTACAATTCTTTCTCTTTCTCTCACTTCCGTAATCTCCAGCCAGATCTCATTTCCATATCTTTCTCAATCTTTCTGCAAAAGAAAAAACACGAAATCACTGCCAATCCATTAGACAACCACTACCATTTTGAAAAACATCAATACCATTGCATAAATAAATCTATACTATTACACGAAAACTAGCTAGCAATATAAACAATCTATACCATTTCGTTTGAAGGAGCGTGTTAGTAAATAGCATAAGATTCATAATTGAATGTCTCCGGCCTATTAGGAGTTATTGGGACCGTGGATTGATGAGTAAGAAATTCAATCACTCTTTTGTTTAAAGATGAAAGTTAAGTGACTTGTTAGACTTTTTGTGCGCTTAGCCGCCTAGCCACAGCCAATTTGGTAATGCGCGGCCCAGGAACGGAGTCGTAGCACCAAAATTAGCGCGGAGAACTGATATGCTTTGTTGAGCACACTATCTAGTATTCTCCATTCTCAAAGCAACAATGTCGTCCGTCATCGCCTTCTCTACGACTACAACGCCGGCGGCGACGGTCCATGGCGCGTACATCAACCGCCGTTCATTTCCCCGTCGCCTCGTAGGCCATCATTCACGGCTCGCCAGGTCAAGATTGCCACAGATTACTGCTGCTCTTGCTCAGAAGACCGCGTTGCAGTACAGGAAACTCGGCGACTCTGACCTCGAAATCAGCGAAATTACGATAGGAACAGTTGAGTATACACCACCTGCATCATGAAATACGAATTGCTGCCAGCTAGGGTTTTTTTCCTAATCACAAGTAAAAGGATTATCGATGTCTTCTTTGATGCTTCAGATGACCTTCGGGGAGCAGAATACTGAGAGAGAAGCTCACGAAATTCTCAGTTATGCATTCGAGAACGGCGTTAACATCCTGGACACTGCAGAAATGGTGAGTCCTTTCGTTTTCGTTCCGTTACTTTGCTGTTTCCATGGCCTACGATGACTGATTGAGTCTTTACTACTTGCTTTACAGTACCCTGTACCACCGAAGAAGGAAACACAAGGGAGAACAGATCTCTATGTCAGTAGCTGGATGAAGTCTCGGCCCCGCGATAAGGTATGGGTAGAACCTAGGACGGCCACTGGATTATTTGTGAAAGCTAGTTTATGAGCTTTGTGAATTCTGTTGGTAATTTCGTGTCAAATTGGGTTAGGTTATTCTGGCAACAAAGGTTGCTGGTTATACACAACGATCGAATTACCTCCGCGATGATGCTGACATTGTTCGGGTCGATGCTGCTAACATCAAAGAGAGCGTGGAGAAAAGCCTTAAGCGTCTTGGGACTGATTACATTGATCTGCTGCAGATTCACTGGTGAGCTTTAATGGTCTCCCTTTAATCAGGCTGAAGGTCGCAAGCTGGCTTCATATTGTGACACCTGAATCTGTTGCTTGTACAACTTTCTTTGAATACAGTGCCGTATGTATGAAATACAGAACACTAGCAGGGCAATAGACCATTGAATTTGGAAGTTTTTTGTGGTTTTGATACAAAATATGTATGCCAGAAGGTTTAGAAGCTCACTTGTTCAATGAGATATTAAGCACCTGGAATTCGTATGGCTGCAGTTAATTGGATTGGCTGTAATGTCATTCAAGTAAGCAGCAGACAATGCATTAGTGTGCAAGAGCTAACATATCATAGATTTACTGAAATGAGAATCAGTAGGATGGCTGTTGCTCCTTTCCTGTTCACTCATCGAGCAATATCCATTGCATATTCTCAACCACCTTGAATTTTGATCATACACTAATGTGTGCATGTTTTTTCCCTTAGCATTCATACGTGCACTACAGCACCCTTCCTGGATTTCTCATTTCTTGATTCTGTGTTGGAGTGAAAATACTAAGTGTATTTTTGGTCCAAGAGAATCAGGAAATATATTAGAGACTGATGTATAAATTGAATTTCTTTGCTGTCCAGGCCTGATCGCTATGTACCATTGTTTGGTGAGTTCTTTTATGATTATTCAAAATGGAGACCAAGTGTGCCTATTGTGGAGCAATTGCAGGCCTTTAAAGAACTTGTTGATGAAGGAAAGGTAATGAGTGCCTCAATCCTAGACTTAGCTGCACCTTCACTTCTGCTTTCATATGTTGAACCCATTCCAATCTCTATCCAATCGTTTTTTCAGTAAAATGCATCATGAGCATGTGTTAGTCTTTGATTAAGCTTGAATTAAGTTATCAAATTTTCTTTTATCTGGTTTCTGAATTTTCTCATTCCTGGAGCTAGATGAACCTTCAGCCAGTAGGGAAGAGGAGCTTGTTTGCTTTTTTTTCTTCTTTTTGTTGGTTCAAGGAATGACAAAGCTAACCGAATTCACTTACTCACAATATCCAGGTGCGGTATATCGGTGTATCAAATGAGTCCTCTTATGGAGTGATGGAGTTTGTTCATGCTGCCAAAGTTGGAGGCCTACCAAAGATTGTCAGTATCCAGAACAGCTATAGTCTGCTAGTGAGATGTCCATTCGAGAGTAAGTTACTTGATTGGGAATTTTATCAACTGAAGGGAGTCAACTATTTCAATCGAGAATAGTTCTCTATATTTCCGGGAAATTTTTGAAAAGTTGTCATTTATCAAGTCTAGCTTCCTATAAAAATCTGTTCTTCTGGAATGTTAACTCCAGGCTCTCCCTTTTTAACAAGACGAGAATCAAGTGGTCTTTTCCTTCACACTTTATGCTGCTGAAGCCCTATGAATACGTTGGTGTTATTGACACATTTGTGCTCAATGACATGCAGTTGATCTTTCTGAAGTTTGCCACCCTAACAACTGCAACATTGGCCTACTCGCTTACTCTCCCCTGGCTGGTGGAGCACTTTCTGGTAAATACTTGGATCTGGATTCTGAAGCTGCAAAGAATGGAAGATTCAAACTCTTCCCTGGGTACATGGCAAGATACAGAGATTCACTCGCCAGGGTAAGTAATTAAAATACACTTCTCCATAATATCGAACTGAATTCCAAAGATTCCTTTCCCTGTACTTACAAAACGACCGTTCTTCATTGATCCCACCAGGAAGCAACAGTACATTACATTGAAATGGCAAAGAAGCATGGTTTAACTCCAGTTCAGCTAGCTCTGGGATTCGTTCGAGACCGACCTTTCGTGACAAGTTCTATTGTGGGTGCGACATCTGTTGCCCAACTCAAAGAAAACATTGATGCTTTTATCACCACGGATAGGCCTTTATCACCAGAAGTAGAGGCGGATATCGAGAGCATATTCAAGAGATACAAAGATCCTGCTATCCTCTGAGAAGTCCAGGTCCTGTAGATTGTTAGTAACAGCACCACCTATTTCTTCTTGTCCAGTATACCTTTTACCTTTGGCAAGCGCATATTTGTCTCAATAATTAAACAAGGAGGGAGAGTGACAGTCGCTCGATGAATTAGATGAAAGATAGAAGACAGAAAGACTAAGGGGAACGCTTCATTGTATCTATCTCCAGATTGTAACCAATAACTTTGAGTGCTCACCGAGCTGCTGCTTACTTAAGTTCGGAAGGTAATCCGACAACGATAAGCAGTTCTCGAAGACTCAACTATACGAAACAGAATCTAATTATCGCACGACATGTTTGGATCCTGCATTTCAATTATGAAGATCAAGCAGAGATGGTCAATGATCTTCCCATGGAACGCCATAGCTTTGACAGTATCAGAATTAGATTAGTAAACGGCGCTGCAGACAAATTAACTACGTCAAGCAGTTGAACTCCAGCATCTGACATAGCCACTTGTGTCAATGAACGTTTCTACAAAGCACGTGAAGCAACATAATAAAGGAGTTTTCGAGCAATAAACTGACAGGCGGAAACACAATGATAATCCAGATAACAAAATGAACTCTGAAGAACACAAAACTCAGCATTACATAAAACCAGAAATTTGGTCAAGATCTAATATCTCATCATCCATTCGTAACTTCGGTGCACATTTTTCCAGAAAAACAGTAGGCTTGGAACTAAAGTCTAACAAGCAAAATTAAGCACAGCAATCTCGCTGTGTGATAAGCCTGCCTCGCAATGTTCTTCACTCCTCAAGGTGCAACGATAATCCGACCAGCAACCTGGTCAAGATCCCTCTGGCCACTTGAAGTGATTTTCCTTCCACTGAAAACCAGAATACAAGAAGAATATGTTAAGCAAACCAACGAAGAAAAAAGTCTCTATTTGCTCATTTTACTAGGCTACTGTGTCAAAAATTATTGGACGAATGCAATGTATGAACAAAGAGAGATGAGCAAGATTGATCAAACACAGGTAACTCACCCAGTGGGCTCAATTGCAACAAGGTTCAACTTCTCCAGTTGTTGAAGAATGTGACGGGCAACAGCACCACTGCTTTTGCAGAAGTGGGGAGGACGGCTTCCATTCCTTTTGCTTCCGCCATAAATTCTTCGGAAAGCACCAACACCAAGGCCTCCCCTCAGGTACACCTTTCTTGCCATCGAGGCTGCAGCCATCACCATAATGGAATTACAACCAGTCAAATGATAAAAGACTGTGATTAGGACCAAGTATATGCAGCTAATTGGCATTATGATGGTGCTCACCAGCTCTGATGTAATACCAGTCGGGATCATAAGGGGCAAGCTCCTTCAATTTACCAGTCTTAACAATATCAGTCCAGGGGGGCAACTCAATCTGTTATCCAGAAAAGGCAACAGAAGAAATCAGATTTCTAAGGAAACATGTAAACAAGATCAATCACTGAACAACTTCATCATCAATAACTACTTATGCTTCAACAGCATCTGAATGTGCCCTAGAAATAAACAGAATGGGGGAAACTAGAAAGTTTTAACTGCAAACCAATCACCGTTGCTGAACCTAAGAACATGAAGAGATTAAGCAAGCTAGCAGAAAACCCACAACAGGAAAATCCATGATCAGAAGAACAAACTTCGGGCATTATCAGTATGAAGAATTGAAGACACATTCATGTCCTAGTCTTTTACACGTACAAAAACCCATTAACCCGAAATCTATTAAACTGAAAACATACCAACAACCGTAATAGATCGAATCATACCACACGAAAACAGAATTCAAAGAACCTATGGACACTATAATCGCCAGCTACAAGATCGAATTCACAGTACTCCGCGTGCATGTAAACAGACATCGAAAGAGTAATATCATAGAGAACCAAACTAATTCGTATCATTAATGAGCCATCAGAACCACCAGCCAAATCTCACTGACCACACAGAGTACATTAGAAGCTAACTCAAATGCCTATGCTACCACCACAAAGCAATTAAAGTGTCATGAGAGGAATCTGGAGCTTGCGGGCAACAAGTTTTTTTGGCTGCGATGTACGGCAGTTCAGAGTGAATTGTTTGGGAATTGATACCTTGCCAGATCGCTTCAGGTGAGCGGCATATGCCTTCACGAACTCGTGGGGTGAGACATCCTTCACAGTACCAGCCTTCACAACGTCGCCGGGAGCCGCCATTCTTTCTGCGAGTCGCTGCGCTCCGCCTCTCTTGAACAAGTATTGCAGAAATGGCTAGGGTTTTGGGGGTGCCGGACTTTGTGTTTTGTTTATATATATGTACATGGGTTAGGGTTTGGATTAGGCCCTTCGTTTCTTTGACCCGGGCCGGGTACATGGTTATTGGCCTTCCATTGCTCCATTAAGAAGGGTTTGGGCCGCGGCCCGCGGGTGTTAAATGGACCAAGACAAAAACTCACCAATTAAAATGGTCAGTTCACTTAATTGAGTCGTTAACTTTGTACATATTGTTCCTCTTAATTGAGTGACTTATTGGGGAAAAAAAAGTGGTCAGTTGACTTTGGTTTTTGTACCCAAAAAAAATGGCCATGTATAGCTTTTGTTTTGACTGTAAAATGCTCGCTTTACTTCGAACTTCAAACAAAACGGTCAATCCATCTCAATCCAAACTCAACAAAGTGTTAATGTGATGCAAATCAATGGGTCAGTAGGACAAATCGAAAACAATATTCATGTTCCGCCTTTATGTTGTTACAAGTCGGGTAATGTTCGCACCAAATAGGACGAGACAAATCGGGTTAAGCGAGTCAGATTAAAAATTGTCATCACTATTTGCATGAGGAGGGAGAGGAGAAGTTGGTATGGAAAGTCATTTAATAGAACGCAAGAGAAAGATATAGGAACATATATGAAGTGGAGAGAGTGAGAGATCACATGTGGCAATTTTGCGTTCCAAAATTATCCTATCCTAATCTCATATTGTCGGTTTGAAAAGAAGCACATGATGATGATTCGTTATCACCCTTGTTGGAGTCACTCATAAACTTTTTTGGATCTTAATTTGTGGTTAGTGATGCAGGATTATGGTTAATTAAACCATCATTGGTGATTACATTGTTATATTTGGACAGATAAACAAATTCATGCTAGACACCGATCACTGAACCTCACAAGACAAACGCATCATCTAGAATGACATGGTTAACAAGGATTTGAGAAGGCCAAATGCAAGGGAATAACCAGTGACGGACCCAGGATTCTCATATAGGTGTGTCAGTCGAAAAAATTAAATAAAATAATAAATATATTTTAATTATATTTTACTGTGAAACACAACAAGAAGTGAGATCGAAAGAAGTGAAGGGAACACTAGGGATTTTTTATAAGATAGTAGTCCATATGCAACTGGACTCCCGATGAAATAGCATTTTTTGTCACTAGCTGGACAACTATGTGAAAGTTACAAGGATCAATAAGAAACGAAACTTATTCAGGTAGAGAGAAAAGGAGAAAACTTCCTTACGATTACCCCTGCCTAAGACCTAAGAGCAATAAACCATTGCGTCTAAAATGCTTAAGCAATGGAAAGAACCCCAAATTTGTCATAAGTTAACTAAAATTTAAAATAAATAATATATATTTACATATTTTGGGAACTTTATGACACCAATTTCATCGTAGTGTATTGAAAGTGTGTCGAAAGTCCTAATTAAATTCCAAAAAATTATACCGAAACATGGGTCTCTCACAAAATATTCGGCCGAAGGTGTGTTGCTTGACACACCTCCCTAACACATGGGTCCGCCCTGGGAATAACATTCTAGTATAGTAGTATACATAACATCGAGGTTGTCAATCCGCGGGCTGACCCGGACCCGATCAACCTAGTGGGTCAAGGGTTAATGAGACATCTGTTTTAGCTAGAAAATATGGAAAGAGTCATTATACTGTAGTTATCCTGATAAATTATATCGAATCGCATCTAGCATATGAGTTATAACATATAATATTCCACCAAAATAACATGTCATACTTAGATCTAACATATAGTGAAATTCACACACACTTATATGACACAATTTGACCTCCAACCCGGTACTTTGTAGCGGTCGACCCGTCGGTTGCGTGCGGCCCATTTTTCTCACCGGGCCCAAATCAAAGTGAGTTGACACATGGGGTTGACAACCTTGCATAACATGTAAGTAGTAAAAGGTGTGTTTCCTAGGAATCAGTCACAATATGTTTGGTAAGAATATAATGTAACTTGTTTCTCGAAACAACAATGACCACAATGGCATTAACCCTATTTGTTGAACTTGTCATCCAGAAGGAATTTGAACCAACCAACTACTCCATGGACCAACCTTCCCTACACAAGTTTAATGGCGACTCACGTTTTGTCAATGAAGTTGAAACAGGCAAACAAACAAACTGCCCACTAGCCCCCAAGTTATTGAATCCCATAAATATGGCTTCTCAATTCTTCTTTGCTAAGCAACACAGCTAGCGAAACGTCCATCGCTCCATGGAAATAGAAAAAGGAAATGAAGGAAAAATAATCATGACGGTTGGTTAGTAGGAAATTTCAGTAGATTTGCGGTCCCGATATTATAGTCGATTAGTCGTTCTTCCCCCTTATCGCTTTCCAGGAAAAATCCCGATTTCCTGGAAAACCCACAGAATTCTGATTTGATTATTTGAAGAATCAAAAGTTCTAGCCCTGTTCTTCCCCTGAAGGACACAAGGAGAAGGTCAGGAAAATTGTCGATCGACCACAACATAAACAATGGGGCAGAAACAGTCCAAGGATGAATTGGTGTACCAGCAAGTGAGTTACGGCAACGCCGAAGGCATCAAAACCCTTTGCAGGGAAGGCGCTGGCCTCGAGGTAATCAGGGGGATTTCCCAGTTGATTCTCCTGTGTTCTTATATTCTTATTCGATTTTTTTTTCCGTCTGTGGGGATTGATTTCATTTCGATCCGCTGTGCTTTGGGGTTTCCAGTGGATCGATAGGGAGGGGAAAACGCCATTGATATTGGCGTGCATGAACTCTGAGCATTACAATGTCGCCAAAACCCTGATCGAGCTCGGTGCTAATATTAATGCCTATCGCCCCGGTACGCGGTGTTCTGGTTCCCTGCTATTGCCCATTTTACTCTTTCTGCTTGTAAGGTCTTAGATGGATGATGTTGATCTAGATTCCAACCCAGGTTGAAGTTGGATGTCTGTGAGCACAAGGCTTACCATTGAGTCTTTTGGGTTGGACGAATTGAGCCCCTAATGTTGGCTAGTTCTGATGGGTTATTAGGTTTTAAAATCAACTTCTGGTTTGGCTGCAGGTCGTGGTGGAGGAACTCCATTGCATCATGCAGCTAAAAGAGGACTTGAGCAGACGGTTAAACTACTTCTTTCACATGGAGGTAGTAAGGACTTCAGCATGAGCCTTCTCTGGTAATTTTTGTGTTATGTTTATCAAAGGGGATAATTCTAAACTGCTTGTGTTTGCAACTATGCAGCTAATGCATTGGTAATGAATGACGACTGCCTAACACCTCTTGAAGTTGCCAGGATAAAAGGATACACCAATGTAGTTCGTGCGATTGAGGTATTCTTTTTAAAGTTTTGGATGTGTTCACCTGGACTCGCTAGTACTGTTCCCCCTTGTAAGATTAGTTCTGTGGCTGTATTGATTCTTGCCTTTGCTTACCAGGATCACATATGCTTATTCTCTGGTTGGCTCCGTGAATTTTTTGGCCCCGGATTTCTGGAGGTTGTGGCTCCTCAGTTCTTGTCTAGAAAAGTGTGAGTATGAAAGCCTATATGGCTTCTTGTGGAAGTGATTGCTTTCCTACATTTATGGATCTTGTGAGGCATCACATGAGTAGTTTGAAACCATTTAACATGAAGTTTTTCATGTTTCATTTGGTTGCTTTCTTGTACTAGGTATTTGGGCAGTTAATGTTACTTAGAACTAGATATTTATGCTTTTTTATCAATGCATATATGCAGATGGGTTGTTATTTTACCAACTGGCTCCCGCAATGCCAGACAGCCTTTCAAGTTGGAGCTTGCCATATATACTAGTTCACAGGTAATGCATGCGCGCGTAACCTATCTAAAGGGAGGAATGACCTAAGACTTCCATACTCTTCCCTGCAATTGAAATTGTTTTCATTTTCAATCTCTTACCTTATCAGTTTTCTTTTAGGTGATATAATATTATGTTAGAATATAGTAGGGACATTGGAAATTGCTCTCCATAAGTTCATAGTGGTTGCTCTCAGATGAAGCAGGTTTCTGGTTTTCTGTCATTTCTGTGATCAGCTTACAGTAGCTGAAGAGAGGACTTTATTGAATCTATATATTATTTTTGTTTCTTGAACAGTAATATAATCTAGCTTTCCTAGTTAATAAAATTTTGGTGAAAGTGCAGGTTGCCAAACCTCGTATGGTGATCTCCTTGTGGAAAGCTAATCTTGAGGAACCAAAGTTGCACCAGGCTGATCCTTCAGTAGCAATTGTTGACAATTCGAATAGTAATTTCTCTATCCTGAATTATGTTCTACTTCTTTCTGGCAATTGTCAAACTTCAGTGTAAACCTTCCTTTGCTCTTTTAGCATTGGATTTTATCTTTATATTGCATTCCTTCCATAGTGTTCTCTATTTACCTCAAATTTTATGTTCATTCATAGTGCCAAGGGGCCGGAGGCGGAGACGAATGAGGCATAAGCCTCCTACAGTTAGGCGTAAGTATAATGGTCGTTGAATTTCTTATGGCTAGATACCATTAATCTCCGCGTCATGATATGAGAAGCTAGTGATTACGTGATTGAACTCTGGGAGACTGGGACTATAGCATCACCGTTTTTCCAGCCTCTATGTGTAGCCTTTTCAAATATCTAGGAAGATTCCTTCTTATTTAGCAACTATAGACTTTTTAAAATGAAAAAAGTTTAGCTACACGTCTTGGATTTATCAAACCAAACCGCATTTTATGTGCATGCAGAAACACGGATCAAACTTGCTGCTGGAAATGAAGGCGACAGGCAACAGCTGCAATGGTTTTGTGATGCATGCAAAGGAATTCCTCAGGTTATAAGCATGTTCTGCAATAATGTGATTTGTTGTTACGTGGTGGTATAATCATGAATTACTTATTTGTGTTTAGAGAACGGAAAAAGTTGCTTCTGAGGTTACATGAGTTGTTTCATATATGGCCTGGGTGTACAGACAATTGCATGCCTGTTATTTTTTGTTTTCCTCCTAATTGAAAATCCCATGGTTAACTTTATATATATTTTTTATGGTTAGGTTACCTATATTTTTTACCCATGATAATGAAATATCATTTGTTATCAATTGTACTCGATGCTTTCTGTTATATATCAAGAACAAAACACCTCATAACTTGAACCTTTGGCACAGGCAACCCATCTTCCTCAATTTCTGCATACTTCACAGCCTCCAGCTTCTGCACCTCCACCTCTTGATGATGCCGAATTAGCAATGGCCATGAGTGCCTCTTTCCAGTCTTCTATAAACGTGAGCCCAGCTGCAATTGCCAGCAGCGAATCAAGCGCCGCTGCCTCCATTAGTGCAAATAACTTTGTGAAGGGGGGCAGCAGCCAAGGTCCACCTTCTGAAGCGAGTTCCAGCAAGTGGCAGCCAGTGCATGAATCTGGCAGTAGCAGCAGCAATTCCAAGCTGCAACCAGAAATCCATAATAATGCTACCAACTCCGCTGATGTCTCAACAGCAGCACCTCAATCATCTAGCTTGGCCCCACCTTCAGCTCCACCGCTTGTCGATGCAATTGTGGAAGAAGGCCCCATTCACTATCCAAGAATAGATTTCGACGCTGTTGATATGTCTTCCGCAGAACCAATTGTGGAATCGCCAGTCAAAGCTGGCGACAAGAAGGAAGAAGGGGGATCTTCTGTGTGTGTGATATGTTTGGATGCGCCAGTTGAAGGGGCTTGCGTCCCATGTGGCCACATGGCTGGATGTATGTCTTGTTTGAAGGAGATCCAGGCCAAGAAATGGGGTTGTCCTGTGTGCCGTACCAAGATTGATCAGGTTGTGAGGCTGTATGCTGTTTGATCTTCTGCATCACCTGCTTTTGATTCGTCATTTAAGCGGGTGGGTATTATTATTTTGGTCATTTAAGGAAAATCCCTTTGAGGAAGCAAATTACAGCGAGAAGCGTTGTTAATCTTTCAACTTGTTTCCCTGTAGGTTTCCTGAGTACTATTTATCACTGCACTGTTGGAAAGATTCTGATCTGTCCAGGGAACCATCAGCCATAGGGCAGGTAAGTCTTGCCTTGTGAAGGAAGCTATATCCTATTATTGGCAGCCATGTCAGCAAGAAGTTTGTATATATATCACCGAGTATCCTCATAGATGAAGTTCAAAAATAGTATTGTAGCTTGTGAAGTGTGTCTATGTATACCTTTGATCTGGTGTACAGTTGTTTCTTAAAAGTACCTCGTGAACATCCCGCTGATGTGTATGAATGATCGAGGATCATTTTCAGCTTGTGCTACTTCATCCAAATATTTACTCATCCAGTTTTTGGCATGCAATGTTATATGTTGTGATGTATGAAAGGAGAGCCCAAAAATTATATTTTGCTCTGTAGTTTCTCCTAGAAATTTATATTTGTGGTTAATGTTCATATATGTTCAGAGGGTTTTCACTTTTCAGGCTAGCCTTAGTAAGGACGGATTATAATGAACATAATAGATTTATACCTTGTACTATAAAAGAGTGCTGTAATCCAGGTTTGCCCACGGTGGTGAAGGTGATGGATGGACTCATCTGAAGCAGGTTTTAAGTTATATACACCATCTCACTTGCTTCCTCCTGAATGTACCCTTTCGCCACTTCCTACATCCGAAGATGTCTTTGTTTGTCTGGGATAGAGTACCTGAAGGTAGAGTATAAGTAGAAGTGGGTGGCTTCTTATTTATGCAACGGTAAAACTCTATAAAATTACTGAACAATGAAGTGGCAAGTAGGAAAGGGTATTTGGCAGGTCACCAACCAAACTCATGGCAAGTAGGAGTTTATCCAGTGTAGTGGCTACGAAAGATTTTCAAAGATGATTCGAATTGTCCGCATATAGTGCCTATTACTATACTTTGTGAGTATATTGTTCCAGTGAGTCTCCTACTCTTAAAAATGTTTTATAGGTGTCGGAACTATATCTAATTTATACATTCGAAAATCCTACTTGACAAAGTGGTATAAAAGATACAAATAAAGTGTAGGGTAAAGTGTGTCATGTGTGAGCAATGGTGTAGCGGCGTAGCCATAATTTGATTCAAGGGGTATACAAAAAAAATTCTGAACAACTATCCTTGATGTGATCTCATGTTTGATATCATCAAATTATTCTAAAACTACATAAATTTCCAAACTATCAAGATTTTGCTCTTAATGTTTATCCCTTGAAATTAAATAACCATTCACAATTTTGTTTCACTCGATTTGAAGGTTGGTCAACTGTTGCATTGCAGAAAAGTTTATATCAACGTGTATTGACTAAACGAAGTAACAATCCAAACATAGTTTCACAAAGGAATACATTGATGGGAATCAATTATTTTTTTTTTGCTAATACCATTATCATAGAAAGTTCAGTTATTTGCTCTAATAGTATGCACCCTCTTACCCATTTGGATAAGCTGGACTGTATTGCTATAGAAATTAGCCGGTAGAATTAAATTATATAACTAATTGTAGTTGTGATGGTAAATATTTGACAATTAACATTGAAATTTGGGGTTCACATTTCATTGTTGGTGTATTTATACTACTATATTTTGTGTGTTCTCCAAATTAAGGGGTGAGGCAATCACTCATTACAGAGAGAGTAGAAACGGTTCAACTGGGCATTGATTTGCGTTAGTACATTGTTTCTTATCCAATGCAATCACTCATTGAGAGACGTGTTTTTTTTAGAATTGTACTTGGAGGGTGCATATATAGCTTCTGGCATCCCTGTATAGCATTGCCTCTCCACACGGATCGAGAAAAATGAGTTAAATGAAGTCCTTATGTGAGTGCTGAAGTGGAGAAGTTCTTGCTTAATTAAGGCTGTAGTGTACCAATGTACAAAGCAAAATAAATCCACTTGTACTATAAAAATTACAAAAATCGGCATGCTACTCATAAATAGATGACATAAATCTCTCATTTGTCAAAGAAATATAGAGATGTTTTTAACGTCTAAATAAAGAGTGCAAAAAGCTTCACCTCAAATGTTTTGAGACTCACGAGTTGAGGTAGGAGTTTATGATTGATAGATATTTGCTAGATTGACCTTACAAGATATGCACCTCATTAATGTTGTTTAGTTTTGTAAGTGCGACGATTGACCTTATAAGTTGCTTATGATCCACTATCTACGACAAAAAATCGTTTGTCATCGTAGAGGTATAGTGAGTTGTACGATTATGAGTGGGGTTTTATTGGGGATAAGCAATGTTCAAGTTTGAGGTTATTTGATGACACGTAAAATACACTATTTTATACTTCTTTATTATGGCTAGAAATGTATGGTTTTTAAACCTTTAGTGTCGTAAACACTTGAATTTACTTAATAATCACTCAATGTGCCTTTTACTATCTTTAGGATTGATTTTACTATTTTGATGCACTTTTGGTAGTATTTTATTTACGTTCAGGCCAAAACATTTTAGAGTACCATCTTGTACGAATAAGTGAACATCAAGGCCTAACTACTGGGAGTCAGAAAGCAAGATTGGATCAAGACCAAAAACGACATTTAAAATAGTCGACAAAAGCACAAAACGACACCTCGGTCGCTGTTTTGGGGGTATCCAGGATCACAAGGAATATGCCAAAGTGGTGGCCAAGCTGGAAGAGACCCAACAGAGCTAAAAAACCGTGTTCTAAGTCGACTTTTTCTCCCATAAAAGATGATGCATAACTCTATAAATAGACCCACTAGGGGCATAAGTTTGGTAGCCAACAATTGGAGGCAATATAGGAAAATTATTTTGTCGACAGAGCGACCCATTTGTGTTAGAGAGAAGACAAACTCAGAAGGCAAATCGATGCCACAAAAGTGGCACAACCGTCGTTTCCTTGTTTTGACCGCCAACTTAGAGGGCAATTTGGGGATATCATTTTGACTGACGCTTCCCAGAATCTCGTCCCAATGGTCGACTAGTTACTTAATTAGTTATGTTGGGGGTGTTACTAAACACTCCGTTCACGAACTAAGTAGTAGGGCGCACAATCGGCGATGCGCGACGCGCGATACACGCTACAGGTATATAAGGGCTTGAAGTCCCCCCAAAGGAGGGGACTTCCTCTCTCTCTCTCCGGACTTTCCACTTTCCACTATCTCTCTCTACACTTCATCTCTCTATATGTTCTCTCAACTCTCTCCACAAACATATACTGACTTGATCGTTGGAGCTCAATCCGGGGGCATCCCCGGTCTTTTTCACAGGTTTCTTCCCTCCCGACGAGATCAGACGAACGGATCACGAGTTAGATGGCACAAACAAGTTGCATTGGCAAATCCAAGAGGTTCTTTGACTAGCTATGTACTCTTGATTTTGGCATATATGAGTTTGATACTCATCTACCCTTTTTTTTATTTGTTTGGTTTGTTGATTGCTACGTAAGACGACGAATATTTTCAAAGGATACATCCTCAAGCCTGGCTTCGTGGATGGATGAGATTGGACACGACAATCCTTCACAATCGATCCTCAATCGATCAAACTGTGTCGACTTCCTCAAATGAGACATCCGTATGGTCCACATTGTTGCCTATTAGCCCCTAACAATTTCTTTGCGTAACCAAGAGCATTGCAGTTGCAGTCGACAGACAGACCCAACTCGTAAAATTTATACGCGCGACTGCCGCGTCTCTACTATTTTCCTTTCCCTCTGCTGCTATTTTCTTTGCGTAAACTGGCAGTGGCGATGTGGGACAGTCGGCAATGGAAAGAGTGGCCATGTTGCTGCACTGTGTCGAGCGACTGTTATCTTTGACCAGCAAAGGAGACAGGGAAGGGCAACACTGTCATTCCACACGCGCAGGAGTTGTCAATCAATGCAAAAGCTTTCTTGCCAAACCAAATCATATTTTTGTTCCCTTCCCTTTCCTACTAAATAAAAATGAAATAAATATAAAAAAATATCATTTTTATTTTTTGGTTTCCTTTTCAGCCCATTAACTTTATATCATGTCTTGTCTATCACATCCATCTTCCTTTTTTTCACCCTCTCTTCTGTACAGACTTTCTCCCTTCGTCTCTGTCTACAGTGAGAGAACCTATTTTTTCCATTTTTACAGAGACAACCTCACAAACATACTGCAATAATAAACTCCTCCATACCATATTAGTACTTCCTCCTGCCCATCCCAAAGATTAAATCGGAAAGATTAATGTTTTTTTCTAAACATAAAGAAAGATATATATACGTGGATGTCTATGGATAAAATATATGTATGATGCAATAGCACTTCTACTATGCTATAATATATTATTAAGCATTTGTGATTTAATTTACAATTTAAAGTTGTATCATAACGTTAAATGTAAAAATTCAGGGTGTGCCATAAATGAATTTGTATCATTATGTTATGGTACAACTTCACAACTTTAAGTTGTACCATCACATAAAAGTACAAGTTCAAGTTGTATTTTTAAAGCATTTTTATACAAAAAGTATAAGTACAATCTGAAGTTGTACCATAACGTTAAATGTATAATTTCAAGTTGTACCATAAAGGCGAATACCTATAACACCAATACTATATAGCTTTGTAAAATTCCTAACGATGCAAATGCAATTAAACTAGGTACGTGAGTTGTTCATATATCTCTAGCACAGTGTTGTGTGAATACCAGATTGGGATAAAGGAGCAACAAGAATTTGGAGAAATTGGGGGAGGAAATTAAGATGAACTTTTGGAGAAAGTGGGCGCAAATTGAGCAGGCAGGGAGAAGAAGCGACAAAGAAATCAGAGTTTTTGATATACTAATTTGATTAATTGACTAAATTATCAAAAAATACTATTAATATAATTGATAAAATTATCAAGAAATTAGAGATATTATAAAAAATACCATACCGTAACATATTATACAACTGTACTAGCTTTATACAAAGCTCATGACGCGACCATACCATATTATACCACCATAATAATTAATAAAATAGGTTATTTAATATGGCATGACTTAGCAGAGGTTATTTATAAAAAAAAAAAACAAAGTCATTCCTCAACACATTGGCAAATTAAAAAAGGATTTATAGCTGTTAGCTAGAGATGACAATTACCCACCCATGTGTAATTATACCAAACCCAAATAACTTGTTGATAATTGGTAGGGTATGGGTGAAGTATATATGGTTTGGGAGTTGGTAAATGAGTTTAGGTAAGATATGTATATTGCTTCCATAATCTAAATGAGTATGGACACCCATTTACTTGAGGGTATTTTAACAACACATACAAAAAATAAGACCAATTTGTAAAACTTAAAAAGGTTGGGTATCAATATGTAATTTTCCATCGATATTTTGAGGATATATGTGAAGAAATAACTAAATTTAGGTACTAAATTTGTAGATCTATTATGTTTAGGTGCTAAACTGTAATTTGCATTTAGGCAATGAGTAAAACGCAAATCTATGTATTAAAAATCCAACCCAAATAAACTCTACCCATTTAATATTTATTTAAATTTCATACCCAAACCAATTGAGTTGGATAGTAAATACTAAATACCCATAACTATGAGTGAAATTGTCTATCCCTGTTTACAACTTCCGTTAATCACCTGCTAGGCACGACACGATTTACTTGGTAGTTGACACAATTCATTTTCCAGATACAGAAGGAAACATCATGCATATCTCTAGTCTATACCACAGGTCGTCAATGCGTTAATACTGATTGGTTTAATTATTTAATACTTAACCAACACACTGTTTATGGAAAAGAACTTGTAACATACCTCTCTCACAGTCAAATCTCTTGTTCAACTTTCAAACTAACTCGAACCCTCAGAAGTCAGAACTTAGAAATCAAACCAACACTGTTTTTCTTTCGTTAGTTTACACAAATTTGATTTGTGATAGAACATACACAAATTTACCTTATTGGTAACCATAATCGTATTACCTTGTGACCTCTCACAATTACTTACTCAAAATGTTAGGGACTTGCTATTGGGAGCTTCAAAACAAATATGGAGGTTGAGATGTCTCCAGAGTTGAGGTTCTTCTTGTTTGTAACAAAATGAAACTCAATAAAAGAAAGGCAAAATACACTAGTATAGCCAAAACTTTCGAGTTTTGCCAATAATAGTCAATTTTGGAGAAATGCTACTTATAGCCACTTCCGTCCAATTCTTTAACGGTGTCAGCTAACAAGCTGACTGGACTAACGACTTTGCTGATTTGGCGACATTTCATCAATAACACTGCCACGTAGATTAATAAATAAATGAAAATTAATGAAAATAAAAACAATTAAAGACCATTTTTAATTAAAAACTCCACTTCCACCTACCTCTGTATGCTCCATCATCGTCCCCATCCTCCACTGCTCCAATAACCCCCAAACCTTCTTCCTTTCAAAGCCAAAATCCCAACAAATCTGTCCACCTACCCTCTGCTCCATCATCGTCCACATTCTCCACTACTCCAAGAACCCCAAACCCTTCTCCATTTCAAAGCCAAGAACCCCAATTCCCTACACCTACCCCTCTTCTGCTGAGATTATCTAAACTCTTAAAAAAATCCCCACCCAAAACTCTCCCAATCCTCTTCTCCAACCCCTACTTCAAATCAATGTTCAATCCTTGTCGCCTACTCCCACCCCTTCCGCCGCGCCGTCCAGATGTGCTTTTCAGGATGAAGAACTCGTTCGAGGGTCTTTGATCCGGCGAGATTACAGTTCATACGCCATAGTCAGCAAGAACTTTGTTGTGTGATTTCAGATTTTGGTGGTAGGCTGGCAATGGTAGAGCATTGGGGGAGGGGGTGCTAGCGAAGAAGTGGAAGCGACTTTTGGCCATGGCGATCTTGTTTTTTGGCTACGACGGTGGTGAGAACAGTGGCGTTTTGAAATAGAGAGAGGTCGACGACTGGACTTCCTCGCTGGGTTCTTCAGCTGGGGTCCTCGCCCGATTCAGGGACGAAGATTGGATCTACCTGCAGCCCGATTTAGGGGCGAAGATTGGATATACTTCTATCGTTGATTTCGTCTTTGGCAGGGGTGATGAATCGACGACGACGATGCAGAGGACGCTGGAAGCTGCCTGATTCTTGTCGCAATAAAAAGAGAGATTTCCTACCAAAAAAAAAAAAGAAGAGAGATTAAATGAAATTCTGCATACAAAAAATATATATTTTTTTAATTTTAAAACATTATGTGTCGTGGTATGGCGAGTCTATGTAGACATTATGTGTCGTCTAGGAGGAAGCCACATCAGCCTAACGTCTATTTAACTAACAGAATCGTTAACGATGTTAAATTATTTGACGAAATGGCTAAATTTCTCAAACAAGTTATTAAAATGTGGTTATATCTTATATTTTCTCAAAAGTGGCTATTATTGTCACAAACGCGAAAGTTTTGGCTATAGAAGTGTATTTATCCTAAAAGAAAACTTAAACTACTTTGGACGACGAGGAAAGAAAAAGAGAGGCGTTGCATAGACAAGTTCGCTGTAGATGTCCTTTATGCTTGCTTCGATTGATACTGCCAGGACATGAGCTATTTGATTCTTGCAAGATTTATCCATACCTTGTGGCATTGCGTTTACCATAACTAGTAGACTACATGAACTCTACGAATTTTTCTCTTAAGGTGTCCTGCAATTCGATCTATCGATGATTGATTTTGAATGACATCGATCATATCCAGTCACATCCAACACAAAATCGGATTTCAAAGTCTGTATCTTATGAAAACATAACTATACTTTAGCACGCAATCGTATTGACAATAAATCAAACCAAGAGATCAAACACATAAGGGGTCGTTTGGATGGGTAAATTGTCAATTTGGTATGTGTAGAGTCAAATAACTCATTTATTGTTCATGTGGTATTTAAGTATTATTTCATTGGTAATTGAAATAAAGTATCTCGTTTGGTTGAACCATGCAAATGTGGTATTTGGTAAAAACAGAGTGGTAAAATGAGTTATTTCAAATAACTCGTTTTGAGTTATTTGTAAATAACTCACTGTCCAAATAACTCAAATCAGTAAAACGCTGGCAAACAAGTTATTTGTGTCCAAATAACTCACAAATAACTCATACAAATAATCCATCTAAATGACCCATTTGAGTTATTTGTAAATAACTCACTATCTAAATAACTCAATAAAACACTAACAAACAAGTTATTTGTGCCCCGTAATTTAAGAGAAAGAATTCAATACTCATGTATACCCAGACAAGAATCAATAAAAATTAAACTTTTGACCATACATATACATTTTCACTTATTTTTATCACTGCAAGGTGAAAAACTCTCGTGCTAAAAAGTGAGTGCGGAAATTATGTAGAATGAAGGAATGGGTAGGGCAAAAAGGACAAGCTATATTTTGAGTAGCTATATAGGTTTAGCCAGTGGCGGACCCAGGAAATTTACATAGGGGTGTCCTCTTTCAAAAAATAAAGTAAAATAAAAATTAAATAATTAATAATTAATAAAAATTATATTATTATTTAGTAAGAAAATACCCAACTCGTACAAGTTAAAAAAAAGTCAATGATGTATTTTCATATTCTAAACAAATTATAAAAAAATACTTGGTGTATACACTGCTCAACAAATTTGTCTCGGTATATCCTACTAGACGATCATTCACGAGCTTACGCATATTTGAATTCTTAATTTGTTTATGATGTAACTCAAAGCTGAAAAAACACTTTCAACACGTGTCGTACAACCATAAGATCAATACAAATTAAGGGTAACTTGTAATTAGATTAATTGTTAGGTTTTGAAAATAATGAAAGATAGAGAATAGAGTTTTGCTATTACACAGTGTTTAGAATATAGCAACAAAAAAGTTGTAGTCTAATGGAAATTATATTTATTAGTAATAGTAGTGTCCCGGGTTTGAATTACCCAAACTACCACTTATATTCTCATACGCAAACTACAAACGAAAGTAGTATAATCGTTTTCAAATTTTAGGGTGTCCCAGACTATTAGTTATAAATTTTTTTGTCTATACGTAAATTAACACCGAGGGTTGGATAATCGATCTTCCAAAATTTAGGGGTGTCCAGGGACACCCCTAAATGCCCCTGGGTCCGCCCCTGGGTTTAGCATACAAGTCATTTTGCTTCCCCTTTTCACGAAAGAAAATTAGAGAATTTCTTCTAAACAAGCAGGAAAAAAATTAGATAGAAATTTGGAGGAAAAAAAAGGACAGAAAATATCTGCCAAACTCATCAATCACCCATAAAAATGTGAAGAGTTTTTCCCCCCACCTCATGACTTTCTTTCCTTCTTGTAATACCAAAAAAGTTTGCAGAGAATCCCACCACCACCACCACTAGCCTACCTTCTTCCCCTCCATCACCAATTCGCCATCTTCATCATCACCTCCTCCTTTCATCATTTCTAGGATTTGATCAAACACTTCTTCCCATCCACCTCCAAAACAACAACCGATCCATCCGAAAAAAGAACACCATACACACAGGCAACCACATAGCCCAGAAAAGGATGATGAATCCATGCATATAACATATTTTTCAATCATCATCATTCTCTCCCTCTTCTGTTTGCCCTAGCTAGCTACTCCATTATTACTAATTATATTCCTTACTAGCAACCCACTAGCTAGCTAGCTAGCTAGCTCCATTTCTTCTTTTACAACCTCCTTTTCCCCATTTGTCCTCTGCTCCCTTCTTTAGTACTACACCTTCATTCATGGCGGCTCTCAAAACCCTAATCTAGATTTGGCCTCCTCAATTTCCAATCTCCACCTTGGATCTTTCTCTACCCTAGAAATCACACTTCACACCTACCCTTCTCCTTGATTTCCCCCCAAAAAAAGAAAAGGAAATCTACAGAATTAAATTAACCCTTGCAGCAGTAGCAACAGATCTTCAGCCAGCAAGCAAGCAACTATGAACAACATCAACAACCCACACGCCGGCCACATGGATCACTCCTTCCAAGAAACTGACGTCATGATGACATCCTGCAATCCCCTCACCCCCGCCGCCTACCACCACCTCCACCTCCAGCCACCCCCTTCCGCCGTCGCGGCGGCGACGGCCCTCTCCCCTCCCTCCCCCTCATCCAACACCACCGCCGCCGCCGCGACGAGCAGCAGCAGCAGGTACGAGAATCAGAAGAGGAGGGACTGGAACACGTTTGGGCAGTACCTCAGGAACCACAGGCCCCCGCTGCACCTCTCGAGGTGCAGCGGGGCCCACGTCCTCGAGTTCCTGAGGTACCTGGACCAGTTCGGCAAGACCAAAGTCCACTCCCACCCTTGCCCCTTCTTCGGGGTGCCCAGCCCTCCGGCGCCCTGCCCCTGCCCGCTCCGCCAGGCCTGGGGCAGCCTCGACGCCCTCATCGGCCGCCTCCGGGCAGCCTTCGAGGAGCACGGCGGGAAGCCCGAGAACAACCCCTTCGGCGCCAGGGCGGTGCGCCTCTACCTCAGGGAGGTCAGGGATTCTCAGGCCAAAGCGAGAGGGATCAGCTACGACAAGAAGAAGCGCTCTCGCAACAACAGTAACAATAAGTTGTCACGGCCGTCCACTTCTTCGTCTTCTTCAGCCGCCGGCTCCGCCTCGAATGTGAGTGGTGATCGTGATCATGAGTGTTGAAATTAATCATATACTGTATGTTATTGCTAGCTAGAAAGAAAGAAAGCCACTATGTTGGTTTCGAACTCCAAATCTGAAAGCAGACTCAGTTGTAGGCTTTCTTTGTTATGACTTAAAAATGCTGCTAAAAATGTATTAGCATATGGTAATAACGCGCTATTTAGGTGTTGTCAATCTATCATATGATATCTCAGTTACGATGATGAGACTGGTTTTTAAGTCAGATTTAATTAGCTGGAAATTACAATTATTAGTATCAGCTGCATCAGGTGAAACTAATTATGGATCGAGTTACTGGAAAAGGAATCGAAGCTAGTAGGAAATTAAATTTATGAAAAGATAGATTTGATGAGTGAGTGAGAGATCTCGTTGTGTGTCTTTTCACAATTCAATTATTTTCCTTTTTCTTGATGAAAGAACATGTTTCCTTTTCAACTATTTATAGTAAATTTTTGGGAATGAATAGGGTAGAATCACAAAACCCATAAAATTTGTGTCTTACCACCCCTGACACTAATTATATCACTAATTATATCACCCGGATATGATTATATAAGAGGTGGTATAATTGGGTGATAAAATTCGGGTTTTGTATGCAAGTTTTGTAGTCGTATGATTGATTAACCAATGCAAGTCCAACCAAAATATACCCAATGGGGGGTTTTTTTTTGGCACAGAATGCTGAAACGCAGTGGAGTATTGTTTGTAGTACTGGTTACTGCCTTTTCTTTTCCTGATCAGAGAGTTGTCTTGAACTGTGCTTTGATCGATCAGTTCAGAATCCTATGGCGCTGTTAGTGTTCTTTTCTGGCTATGATTGTGAGTTTGTGACTGCAGTCCAGGCAGCAGCTTTAACAGCTTGAAATGGGTTACAGTTTCTAGCTTTAGTTTTTAACTATAAGTGGAATTGCTGATGCTGGTGATGAGATTAGATTAACTAACTAAATATAGGGTTCTCACTTTTTCTCTATTAGGCATTTTTTTGGGGTCGAATTAGGCATTTTTTTCTCAGCTCTTATTAATGCATGTTTTTTCCCCCTCATGGGGTGATGAAAATTAAAGAGGTTTGTCTGTTGCTCTCTCTGGTCTGCTGGTATCTCTAGCGATCTCATTTATTGATAAGCAACAAAGCAAATTCAGTAGCCAATTTCTCTCACTCCCTTCCCTAGCCAATTGTGTATATATCTGCGTCATGTCATTGTTCCCTCAAAGATGGGAAATGTCATATAACTCAGGGCATTCAATACAAGTATTCCAGACCACCAAAATGGCGAAGTTTGACAGTTAAATAATCGTTATATACATACATGAACATTACATATATGTAAATCGTTAACTTAACAGAAGGCTGATCTAGTAGAAAGGACGTACGTAGCCTTGTTTTCATCTTGGACATGCACTCATCCATCATTGAACTTAAATACTACGCACTGCTGTTAGCCAGCCAGTAAAAACAGCAGGAAGAGATTTTTTTTTATATGGATTTTTGTTGTTGTTAGTGTAGTGATCAGAGACCTGCAGTCAGCCAGTCACTTGTTGTTGATCATCATCTGCGATTGTAGGGAAAGCCAAAAACTGACTGACTTGATATGACAGTTCAATGTTGCAAAACTGTAGTCATGCACGACATGGTAGGTAAACCCCAAACCAAATAAATCCGTATAAGAAAAGCTAAAGCACATAATTTATTGTTTCATTATTACCGGTAGGCAGTTTTTCTTGTTATCTAATTCCGGTGGGTGAAACTAGTTGTGATGTAGGGGCTGTTTGGAAGATAGGATTCTCTAAATTGATGGTCCATTCGTCGGAGTCCCAAACCCACAATCTATAACCGATGAGCCACGTGATCTCTAAAATATGATACATAGGCCCCGTGGCCCCTAAAGAGTTCACGGCTCAGCCTCTCTCACCTTCCTCCTCCTATTAGTGCCGGCCTCCTCCGAATCGGGCAGTGATGACTCAAATCGGCCACAAGGTTCGCGTCTAACATGGACAAACTGAGACGACGGAGTATATGCCATCGGACTCCGTTCTATGTCTCACTACCATCATACTCAGCCACCCCCTGAAAAGATGTATCTGAATCAAAAGGCACGGGAGCATCGGGGAGGATTCTCCAAAATATAGCATGTCAATACTCATTCTCTGCTTGCTCACAACGCAACCTCAATATTATACGTTTGGCCTCCCTCGACAGCTCTGCCTACTTGTGCTTCTTCTTTTCTCTTGTATCCACCATTTCCTACCTATGAAAATTTGAATTGAGATTATTGACAATTTATTAGCATCACCATTTTCTACTAGTTTTCATACCATGAATTGCTAGATTTAAATTCTTAAAAGTGTGTATTTCTCTATTACATTTTAACATTAGTATCTAATATCAGTTACAACAAATTTTAAAATCTTATTACCATTAATATTTTTCATACAAAAAATTTTAGATTCAATTTATTAAATGTCCATATATTTCTCGATTGCAAATTAACATTCATTTCTATTTTCCATTAAATGATAACATTCATATATTTATCGATTACAATTATTAACAATCCTTTATTTTAGTTTAACGTTAATGAATCCAATTTAACTTTCATATTGTAATTAATTTCAAGTTTATAATATCAATAAAATATTTTCCTCACGACAATATGAGGAATTTAATTGAATTTCCTCAATTTTTCATTTACATACATTTTTTAAATCTAGTTTTTGTTTTTTAATTCGAATATCAAAATAGAGTAACTAATTTTAAAATTGTAATATCCAACGAATAGTAATAAATTAAAAAATAGAAATAACCAGCGACCTGTTTTCTACACATTCCCAGTTTCCGGCGGAACATTCCAAGGTCGTCTCCTTTGCAGGCAGCGAGCCTAACCGCCTGTTGATCCACCTCCGGCAACGGCAAGGGACAATTTTCACTTTCTTGAGTTCTTCCACGCTGGGATGGTCATCATATACTCTGTTTCAAATAAAATAGTCGCTCATTTTGTTGCGCAAATAAAATCACATGTTTCATTGTTGAAATGGTTCTCTCCGTAGAAGCTTTTGAAACGATTAGCGTCAACACTATACAAATTAATCGACCAATCAATTTGCATTGTGTGTACATCCCTACATCCACCAGCTACTCATATAATTTTTGAAGGGAACAAACTTCATATTTCTTTTAGTTCTTTAAGCTTTAGATTTTTTCTACTTTAGGTTTCATTGTTTTTTTAGACGAAAATCTTGGGGCTAGAATTTCTATGCTAATTTTAGAACACTTATTTGAATATGTTCATCTGAACCATTTGTGTAGTTATACACAATCTTATTATAAAATACCACTAGGCTGAATGCCAAAAATTGAAAAATTCATAAAAGGTATACTAGTTTCGGATCGAGAGTAGGGCTGACCCGTGGACTGAGAGTATTATTCGTTGAAGTACATCTATTTGGTGCAAACGCATCTGTATACTACAAGTTAGGAATACGCTAGTGTTTGTTATATATATATATATATATATATGGTGACTACTTCGGTGCACTCACAAAAATGAGTGCGTTCAATGCACCCAACTCAAAAACTAGTCTTAAGGTGTCGAATTTGAATTTGAATTTGTAGATTAGTGTAATATGATGATATAACATAAGATAACAACTAATTAGCGGATTACCCTAAGCCCTAGACCTCCAATTTTGAGTTCTATCCCTAAACTCCAAATTGTAAACCCTAACCCTAACCCTAAATCTCTAAACTCTAAATCCTTCAAATTAAAGTAAATCTTTGATGGTTTTTGTGCAAATTCATGTGCGTTATTGTTCATCACATCATAAGTGATGATTGACATCATTTTGACATGAATCGCATGTTTAAAATGACGGTTATGAAGTGAGTGCACTGAATGCACCCAAAAAAGTGGGTGCACCGAATACGTCACTATATATATATATATGGTGACTACTTCGGTGCACTCACAAAAATGAGTGCGTTCAATGCACCCAACTCAAAAACTAGTCTTAAGGTGCCGAATTTTGAAATTTAATTTGTAGAATTAGTGTAATATGATGATATAACATATGATAACAACTAATTAGCGGATTACCCTAAGCCCTAACCCTAAACCCTAACCCTAAATCTCTAAACTCTAAATCTTTCAAATTAAAGTAAATCTTTAATGGTTTTTGTGCAAATTCATGTGCGTTATTGTTCATCACATCATAAGTGATTATTGACATCATTTTGACATAAATCGCATGTTTAAAATGACGATTATGAAGCGAGTGCATTGAATGCACCCAAAAAAGTGAGTGCACTGAAAACGCCACCATATATATATATATAGTGGCTACTTCGGCGCACTCACTTTTTTGGGTGCACTCAACTCTAAAAGTGTCCATAATACATCAAATTTTGAATTTCAATTAGTACTCTCAATCTAATATGATGATATGACATAGAATCATAACAAATCAATCTATTACCCTAACCCCTTAACCTTCAATTTTGAATCCCAACCCAAAATTCCAAATTGTAAACCTAATCCCTAACCCTAAATCCCTAACTCCTAAATCCTTTAAATTAAAGTAAATTTTGAATGATTTCTTTTTTCAAATTCATGTGCTTCTTGTTCATAATTCATAAGCAACAATTGATACCGTTTGACATGAATCACATGCTCAGGATGATAATTAAGTGCACCCAAAAAAGTGGGTGCACCGAATACGCCACCATATATATAAGAATATTGATAGAACTAATATTAATTAATAGAGTTAACTTATCATCATACTCCTAATCAATTAATCACACAAATGACAACACATATTCAATTTATAATATACGACTAGATTAACTAACAAACTCGTATTATTTGGAGACCCTGTTTCGGAGTGCCACCCGGTCACGCAGCCCCTGGATACGTGGTTTGCTGCTTAAAGATGATGAAGCAAAAAAGAAGGGCCGCAAGCTGGTAAAATTGGGGATGGTGAAGCAGCCTGGTGGCACGTCCCATGGGAAGTCGACTCCCCGCTCGGCTCGCAAAAAGAAAGGGCCCTCGCTGACCATGCCGGAAGAGGAGGCGGCAGCCGCCAAAATGGCGAACCCGACCCGGTTGGGAAAGAAAAAGGCAACTCGGACGGCTAAAGTAGAACCCCCCTGCTCCTGTCGATAAAAATCATGAGGTGGGAGGTTCGTTGGTGGACAAAGGGAAATCGGTTGTAGAGGATCAGAAGGCTGAGGAGTGTACTCTCTCTGATGAGTCTCTGTCGGAGGAGGATGAACTCCGCTTTGAGATCAAGAATAGGCGTCTGCCTGCTGATCAGGAGCAACTTGTTCAGCCTGGTCAGGTAAAACAGGTGGTGGCTGCTTTTGAGGAAGGGCTAGTGCTCAATGAAGCTAAGGGGAGTTTGGATGCTGCGGAAGACGGGATGGTCCTTAAGCTTGACGAATATGGATCCAATTTTGAGGGTGGAAACCGGAAGAGGTCAATACAAGAACTGGAGGGGGTGTCTGCGGATAGTCCCACTCCAAAGAGGCAGTTTGTGGAGGATCAAGTTGAGATTGTTAATGCTGATTTGGTGGAGGAAGCCAGCCAAGAGTGGTCCCAAGCAGATAAATTAGGCTTCTGGCCTGGAATGTGAGGGATGGGGGCCATCCCTCACATTCCAAACAACTTTTAGTTTAGTTCGTTCTAATAAGCCGGACCTTGTTTTCTTTTCAGAAACAAGGTCGTCCAGGCGTGTAGTTTCCCGTCGCTTGAGGGGGTTAGGATTCGAGTCGGCTCACTGTTTTTTTGTTGATGCTTTAAATGGTTCTGGTGGTCTTGTAGTGGCTTGATCCCCCGAAGTTGATGCTTCGGTGTTTTATCATTCGAATTTTGTATTGGTTCGAGAATTAATGAAAATGATTTTTCGTATGTGGTGCTCTGTGTTTACCTAAGCTGTAATATCGCTTTGCGGGCGGCCCAATTGCTCCAGGTCCGTGAGATTTGTGAAAGCCTCCAGGTCCCTTTTGTGATCATTGGCGACCTTAATGTAACCCTTCATGAAGGAGAAAAGGACGGTGGTAATCCTTGGAATGCTTCTCAAGCTCTAGACCTCCGCAATCTGGTCCAAGATCTTGGGTTGTATGATCCAAGGTACCAGGGTGACCCTTTTACTTGGGCAAACAAACGAATGGGGGTGGCCTGTATTCGGGAAAGACTGGATAGGGCTCTGTGTTCCCAAAGTTGGATGGACCGTTTCCCTGATACTCTAGTGAAGCATTTCACTGACCAAGGATCTGATCACCGGGCGTTACTCCTGTCTGATCCACCCTATATCCGGATGTGTCGCCCCCTATTCCGATTTGATGCCAGGTGGGCGGATAACCCAGAGGTTAAGGCTATGGTTGCGTACGTTTGCCAGGAACCAGTTCATGGTACTCCGATGTTCCAGTTGTGGGAAAGGTTAAAAAAGCTCCGTCATTTGCTCTACGATTGGAGCCGAGCGGGTACAACCAACTCCCTACGCAATATCCATACCTTGCAAAATGAAATTTCTAGGATAAAAGTTGTTCACCCGATTAACTGGCAGGAAGTGACTTCACTAGAATCGGAATTGAACAGACAGTGGGAGGCCGAGGAGAGGTACTGGCAACAGAAATCGCTTGTCCGTTGGTTGAAAAGAGGGGACCAGAATACATCCTACTTCCATACGGTCACGCGTACCCGGCGAAAGAAGAATTTCGTCTCTGGTCTGTTTAATGACAATGGGGATTGGGTTACGGAGGAAAAAGGGAAGGCGAAGGTTGCGATCAATTTCTATCAACATCTCTTCACCACGGAATCCCAAATTCACAATATGAATGAGCGGGTGGCTGAACTTCCTGTTGCTTCCAATGTGACTCCAGAAATGAATGCTTCCCTAACCGCGGAGGTTAGTCCGGATGAGATCCGCAAAACGGTCTTTGCCATGGGTTCAAAACAGGCGCCAGGCTCAGATGGTTTCACGGGAAAATTCTTTAAAGCCTACTGGGGGATTGTTGGGGAGTCGGTTGTGGCTGTGGTTGGCTCATTATTTGCTACAAGCAGGATACTCTGGAGTTTTCACCACACCTGGTTGACGCTAATCCCAAAAGTGGATCAGGTGGAGTCCATGCGTCAACTTCGTCCCATCAGTTTATGTCAGTTCATATATAAAGTGATCACGAAGATCATGGCGGAGCGTCTTGCAGAGGTCTTGCCTCTCATTGTCTCGGACGGCCAGAACACCTTTATCAGGGAAAGACAGATAATGGATAATATCCTGATTGGCCATGAGTTAATGCATTATTTGAATATCAAAACCCGGGGCAAAAAGGATACATGGCTCTCAAGGTTGATATGGAAAAGGCCTATGATAGAGTGGAGTGGTCCTTTCTTTTTGCGGTTTTGGAGAAAATGGGTTTTAACTCGGTCTGGCGTGGATGGATTCAGGAATGCTTACAATCAGCAACGTTTTCGGTCCTCATGAATGGATCTCCGTCTGGTTTCTTTGCGCCCTCTAGGGGGCTCCGGCAAGGGGATCCCCTCTCTCCCCTTCTCTTTGCGCTTTGCACGGAGGGCTTTGTTGTCTTACTTCGTAAAGCCATCTCTGAAAAGAGGTTGGAAGGAGTGAAGGTGGCTCCGCGGGCTCCCCGCATTTCTCATTTGTTCTTTGCTGATGATTCTTACTTATTTCTCCGTGGTTCCCTCCAGGAGTGTGAGAACCTGATAGAAGTTCTTAATGAGTATGAGGAGCTTAGTGGCCAGAGGGTAAATTTGGAAAAATCGGTTGTTTGCTTTAGTAAGAATGTCTCTTTACTAGATCAGGAGTTCTTGGCGGCAATCCTTGGCGTAGGTGTTGTAGGGATACATGATAAATACCTTGGTCTACCCACTTTGATTGCTCGCTCCAAGACGACCACTTTTCGCTACCTGGAGGAGAAGCTTTTAGAACGTTTGCAGGGATGGAAACGCATGACTTTATCTTGGGAAGCTAAGGAAACTCTGATTAAATCTGTCGCCTTAGCTCTACCGCTCCATGTGATGTCCTGCTTTCGCCTGCCGTTATCGCTTTGTCGCCTCCTGGACAAGCATGTGGCCAGATTCTGGTGGGGGGTTGAGGATGTCGCTCCAAGATTCGGTGGGTCTCCTGGAGAAATTTGTGTAGAAGTAAGCATGAGGGGGGGATGGGGTTTCGCTGGTTCGAACAGTTTAATCAAGAGTTGTTGGCTAAGATAGGATGGCGTATTCTGAATGAACCCCAATCCCTCTTAGCCCAGGTCTATAAAGGGAAGTATTTCCCGCAGGAATCCTTTCTTTCGGCTACGGCGCGGTCCCGCCCATCCTGGGGATGGCAAAGTATTCTCTTTGGTCGGCAGTTATTGACCAAGGGTTTGCTGTGGAAGATTGGGAATGGATAGAAGGCTCCTTTGCTCAACTCAAACTGGATCCCGACTCAACTTCCTTCTTATCCTGTGTATAACCCTCGGGTTTTGCCGGATGATGGGGAAATGACGGTCTTGGGTGTCCTCTGCCCCGGGGAAGGGCATTGGTGCGAAGATAAGCTGAGTCAGTGGTTTGACCCTCTGACTTGCCAGGCGATGCCCTTGCCACGACAGAATATCGAGGATTGATTAATCTGGCATGCCACGGAGGATGAAATTTTTACTGTCAAATCAGCTTATCATTTGGCGGTTTGTCTGGACCAGCAGAGTGGGAGATGGCGGGCGCAGGTTAATTGGATGGATAAGCGGAGTTGGATCTGGGTTTGGGAAGCAAATATTCCTCCGAAACTGAAGGTGTTTGTCTGGAAAATCTTGACCAGAATTTTACCAACGACTGAGGCTCTTATAGAAAAGGACGTGGAGGTCCTGCCCCGATGTCCTGTCTGCTGGGCTTCAAAGGAGACAATGGAGCACTTGTTCTTTGATTGCCCTGTGGCTAGGGCTCTGTGGTCGCAGGCGGGGTTTGATTCTCTTGGCGAGGGATTGGCCCGTCATACATTCCCCCTCTTCCTCAAGAAATTGCTGGCTATCTTACATCAACCTTCGCAGTTCATGGCGGTAATTGCTACCCTGTGGCGAATTTGGAGATCCCGAAATTGGGTGGTCTTTGAAGGAAAACAATTCAGCATTCCGGCATTATTGAGGCAGTATAACCAACAAGTAGGGGAGTGGCTCGGCCTGCCTAGGGAACCTCAGTCTCCCTCTTCTCATCTGCCTGATCGTCCTACTGTGGTAGTGAGCGGGTTAGGGGGACCTGTGTGTCGTTGGGATGGGGTTGTTCGACGAGGGTCGCATTCTGCAGGTGGTATGGTACTTCTCAATGATGTAGGGACGCCGCTCTGGGCTGTGGGGGTTCAGTTTCCCAACCTGGATGATCCAATGGTGGTGGAGCTACTTACGCTTAGGAAAGCTGTCCGTTGGTGTTTAGCGCACGGGTTTCTGGTCATGCGGTTTGAAGGGGATGCCAAGGTGGTCATTGATAAGATCTGTAGGGCTGATGTGCGCGACAGTCGGGTAGGGACTATTTTGGAGGAAATGATTCAGATTTTCAGGGAAAATCCGGGCTTTACTGTGCGATTTGTAGGTCGGGGTGACAATAGGGTAGCTTATAAGGTAGCTAGACAGACCCTTTCTTTGTTCCCGACTACGTGTCGTTATTTTGATTTCCAGACCTGGCTGGCTTCCAGGATGTAACTATCAATTTGTTTCTATCAATATATGACTATCTTTTGTAAAAAAAAAAAGTCAGCTGATGCCTGCCTGGTAGGGATGGCAATGGGTCGGTTTGGGGGGGGGGGGGGGGGGGGGGGGGTTTGTCAAACCCAAATCCAAACCCATGGGTTTATCCGAAAAAAAAAACCGGGGTAAAACCCGTTGGGTTTGAAAAACTCAAACCCAACCCAATCCGCTGGGTATCCGCAGGTTCATGGGTACCCGTGGGTTTTTGTGGTAAACAATTTACAATAAAGTTTCTTTCAAAATAAAAGTTTAACATCAATTTTCTCATACAAACTAATCATACAAAAAAACACTAATCTAGAGCATACAAGCAAACCGCAAATGATCAATACAAATTGTTCAAAATTAAAGATAAACATCTATAAACAATAAGATTAATTGAAAGCTTCTTCCTCGTCAATTAAGTTTCTTTACTCTCCACTTCATAATTTCAACTTCATTCTAAACAATTAGAAAGAACAAATTATACATGTCTCCACAAACATAAAGAATATTAGTTGTTTAAGGAAGATATATTATTTAGAATATTAAATATACTAGGAAAGTAATTACATGTGTGTGTGCGGGTATCCATGGGGCAGGCTTACCTAAACCCAAACCGACCCGGTGAATAGTGTAACGGGTTTAAATCCGAACCCGACCCAAAACCCGTCAACACGGGTTTTACCCGCATTGACCGGGTTGGGTCAACCCGTGTTGACCGGGTTGGGTCGGGTGGATACCCGTGGGTTCGGGTTTTGTTGCCATCCCTACTGCCTTGTACCACCAGCCAAGTAAAGTTTAGTGGCTGGGTAAAAAGAGAGGAAACGCAGAGATGAAATCCGAGGTAGAGAGATTATTGCCGGAAATGATTTTGGAAAACCAGTCTGAAGAGAAGGAAAAGCAAAATCGAAAAATGGAAGAAAATTCTAAAAATACCAATGGTACGAGAAAGGAACCTCTCCTTCTTCCGTCACTTCACTTCTCTCATTAGTCCACTCCAGTCCCTCTCCCAGTACTTTCCAGTTTTTCTTTTCACGCAGAAAAAAAGAAAAGAAAAAGGAAAGAAGTGTTTAGATGACTGTTGTGGGCTCCTTGCACGTCTTCTCATGCTCAATTGTCACTTCATGTTCCCTCCGGCCGGCCGGCGGGGCCCCCTCTGTCATTCGCCAGTAATTTGATCCTCCTCCTCTCCGTCCGGTCAAGTGGACGGCCTACATATATTCATTTCTCAGGCCCCACACACATTCGGTGCGGACTGCGGACACCACACGGTGACGATCGATCGACATGCATATAGTGGATTCGGGCCGGAAAGTTTGGGAGCGTGACTGGGTAAAGGGTGGTTTGTTTTTCTCTGCGTTGGGCCTGGGGAGAGGTTTGTAATCTGTTATAAAGCCCAATGACGACCAGCCATCCCATATAGCAATGCAATCTCAAATGAAACAGTCATCAGCAGAATGAGAACCCCATCACTTTAAACTAAAACCAATGGTTGCATATCCACATTCTAATGAACATCCAACGCATGCTAAACTTTTAACACTCTGACTATTCAGAATCATCAGTAGAAGCGTCCAAGCCGCCTGTCCGCCATCCTCTGCGAATCACCCATCGTCTGGCTCTGCGGCCGCGGGCATGCTTGGCATTTAATGTTGTTTTTTTTATCTCTTGTCCTTCCTCCCACGACCCGATTGTTCAACCAAAACTTGGCGCTCTTACGCTACTTCTATTTGTTCAGCAAGCAAGCAAACAAACTAATCCACAACAACATGAATGAAATGGGAGACAAGGATTAGAAGCAACGCCACGCAAAGAAATCGAGAGAACAACAGTATGAACGGGAGAGATATACCTATCTATGTATGTAAGGGAGGAGAAGTAGGTTAGTATGTAAGTAGGGACACAATGGCAGAGAAGAGAAGCTAGGTGAAAATGGTAAATAGGAAGTTATTACCAGTGGTTGAGGGAAGTGTTGTTGCGGTGATGTTCTAAACCCAATAACCGTAGCTTCCATTGTACAGACCAGCGGCGGATCCAGAACATAATTGAGCGCTAGAAATTCATCGCTCATTTTGTTGAGCAAATCATTTTTCATTTGTTTCATTGTTGAAAGGTTCTCTCTATAGTAGCTACTGAAACGGACAATGTCAACACTAGGCAAATCAATCGACTAATCAATTTGTATTGTGTGTCCATCCCTATTTCCAGCAGTTGCTCTAATAATTTTTCAAGAGAACAAACCTCATATTTCAATTAGTCTTTTACGTATTATACTTTTAGAATTTTAGGTTCTATTGTTTGTTTTTATTTAGACGAGAATCATTGGAGCTAGAATTTCTAGACTAAATTTAGGGTTGTGGTTTGAATATGTTCATCAGACATATTTTCCTAATTACACAATTTTATTATAAAATAACACTGGACCGAATGGCTAAAATCGACAAACTTATGAGGACTATACTAGCTCCGGACCCAGAGGAGGTCTGGGCCGTGACCCGGGATGGCCACCCCCTGGATCCGCCACTGGCACAGACCTCGCAATTCGTCGTACCTGGGAATAGGTGTAGGCCAATGATAGACCATTGATTGTACATGTTTTTACCCCTATTCTTGAGCCGTTTTAGATGTTGATTCTCGTGTTTTAAGCCGATTTCACGCTAGGTTGTGCGTTTATGTCATATTTCAGGGCTTAGCGTTGGCATCGAGGCGAAGAAATGAGTTTCGGGTCGAAATGAGCACGTTTGGGGTGAAGTGTGCTGGAGGAGAAAAATACCCGGCCATGAGCAGAAATACCCGGCCGGGTATTATTTGGAGCAGACCGGCGATTTGTTGCTTCGGGCGTCTCTGAGAAGCAGAAGGGGGCCCAAGCACAGAGCAAAAATCACCGGTCGGGGATTCTTGGCATTGACCGGGGATTTCCCCTGTCTTCAGACGCTATGTTTTGAATATACCCGGTCGCCACCCAAAATATCCGACCGCGTATTCAGGCTGGGGATCGCGACATACAGCTTCTTAAGGGAAAAGAAGGCCAAAAGTGAAGGGTTCCGAGTTTTAGAGAGACAGAGCGATACCTAGAGAGAGAAAGTGACGAACCTGACTCTGCAAGTGTCATAGATCAATCTCCATCACCATTGGAGCCCGACTTGAGTTTGGAGAAGACCTGATTGAGTGCCAGAAGCAGATTATCATCCTTCAGAGTATGGTTTCCGCATCTGAGCTAGATTTCCCATCTCTCTCTATGGAGTAGTTTTCTTATTCACCTGGGTATGAAGAACCCTAGATTTCTATGTTAGGTCTGATTGTATGAACCCAAGTACAGATTCATTGGTATAATTATGTTCAATTGAGGTTTAATTTATTGAATGGCATGAATCCTGATCAAATTCATGTTGTTTCTGCTTTAACCTAGAAAGAGAATATCTGCCTAGGTTGATAGAGCACCCTTGGTTGAAGGTAGTGAATTGGCGACTTTAGTCGAGGAGTCAATTCACTATTCTGTACCGAATTTACTTCGGTTGTGGAGGTTTGGTTCGTTAAGGCCTCAATCTGTTTACTCCAGTGGAGGTTAGTTGCCCGCTGGAGACTCAGATTGAGAGGGTCTGGAGACCTTTAGTCGAGAATTCAGACTATTTAAGAACCTCCCGCAGTATAACTATCATTGAAACTGAACTTGGTAAATCACAATCCGGCTTAACTGCAGTCTAGGGGGAACCATATCCAGGTGACCTCTCTCTACTTGAAAACAACCTTTTTACTCGCTTTGCTTGTTTACTTGTTTGGATCTTCACTAAAGTTTCACTGCTAAATAATCAGAATTCACGGAGTAGTCATCACATCTAGGACCCGGGTTGACATTAAAACCCAAACCCGCTATACTACGCTTTAGGAGGTGGTTACACTTGGCCATTTTCTAGAGTGACGGTAAGAGCGAGTCAAGTTTTTGGCGCCGTTGCCGAGGACGGCTAGTGACTCACTCCTACTGTCACTCTAGAAAATGGCCAAATGAAACCACTTCCTAAAGCGTAGTATAGCGGGTTTGGGTTTTAATGTCAACCCGGGTCCTAGATGTGATGACTACTCAGTGAATTCTTATTATCTAGCGGTAAAACTTAAGTGCAGGTTCAAACAAGCAAAAACACAAAGCAAGTTAAACGGTTGTTTCAAGTCGAGAGAGCTCAACCGGATATGGTTCCCCCTAGACTGCAGTTAAGCCGGATTGCAATTACCAAGTTCAGTTTCTATGATAGTTATACTGCGGAAGGTTCTTAAACAGTCTGAAGTCTCGACTAAAGGTCTCCAGACCCTCTCAATCTGAGCCCCAGCGGGCGACTAACCTCCACCGGAGTAAACAGATTGAGGCCCTAACGAACCAAACCTCCACTACCGAAGCAAATTCGGTACAAAATAGTGAATTGACTTCTCGACTAAAGTCGCCAATTCACAACCTTCAATTAAGGGAGCTCTATTAACCTAGGCAGATATTCTCATTCTAGGCTAAAGCAGAAATAACAGGAATTTGATCAGTATTCAAGTCATTCAATCATTCAAGCCTCAATTGGATATAATCAAATCATAAAATCTGTACTTGGATTCATACAATCAGACCTAACATACAAATCTAGGGTTCTCCATACCCAGATGAATGGGAGAACTACTCCATGGAGAAAGAAGCAAAAGCAGATTCAGATGCGGAAACCATACTGTGAAGGATGGATTTCTGCTCCTGGTTGTCGATCGGCACTTCTCCAAGCTCAAGCTGGGCTCCAATGGTGATGAAGATCAAGCTATGGCACTTGGGAACTCTTGTTCGTCGCTTTCTCTCTCTAGGAATCACTCTGTCTCTCTAAAACTCGGAACCTTAGATTTTTAGCCTTCTTTTCCCTTAAGAAGCTGTCTGTCGCGATCCCCGGTCGAAATACCCGGTCGGGTATTTTGGGTGTCGACCGGGTATATTCAAAACGCGCGTTTAGGAA